AATATTACAACCCTGTATTAGGAAACCCTGCATTTGGAATTTCGAATTTGTTTATCTATTTTATATTTTATCAGACCTTAAAGAACTTTTGATTAACAAATTTAATGATTTCAAAGCTGGCAATGGCAACAGTGTACAGAAAAAAAACATTTTTATCTTCAGCTCGCCCCAACGCTGGAATGCTTCTCTTTTCTTTCTTGATATTGAAGAAATTAATGCCAAAATAAAAAGAAAATCGTTCTCGTGCTTTCATTTAAATAGGCGTATATAACGTAAATTCTAAAGAGATGCTCATTTTAAAATTTTTTTGCGATATTGCTGTTGAATTGAATTTTATGGTTTAAGTGCGAAGAAAATGATATTTAATAAATAAAGGTAACACACAAAACGTTAAAGAAAAGTCCCTTTGGGCGTAATGTAAAATCTGAAAGCTTTCATATTTTTTTAATTTTATTTATTTTAAAATTATATATTTATTTATTGGTTAAATACTGCTTTTGTGCAAATTGTTTTACATATTTTCTAATAAATAACAGATCAAATTTACTTTTTCATTTTTATATGAAACAGTAGAATCTAAATTCGAAATAAAATCGAAGCTGTCTATATATTTCTCTTTATAATTAATAATTAGATTTTTATTTTAAACAGTACATATTAGATGTCAATAATGGATATTATTTTTAAAACGAGATGCAACATTTTTGCACGATTCGCTGATAGTTTGTATTCCAACATTTTTTTTTTACATTTTTTTACAACATTTACAAATATATATATATATATATAAAAAATAATATATATATATATATATATTTAGAATTTTTTTTGATGATCACTTTCGACACTGCAGTTTATAATACCTTCCGAGTATTAAGCTAGAATAGAAAAGATCAGTTTAATATATTTTTTTCATTTTGTTTCTCTTAAAAGTTAAAAGAAGCTAATTAGGATATTACCGAAAATTACTTAAAAACCGAAAACTCAATTTGCCTCTTTTTTCCTTTCTCCTGCTATTTGTTAGTTTCTAAATAACTCTGCGCACAGCTTATCAGATTTAAAACTTTTTAAGTGCAAAATGCTTTTCAAATACTTCGAGTTTTAGAAATAAAAGAAAATTCTAAAATATTTAATTTTGGTCATAAATTTTTAACTACTTGAAATTGAAAGATTAAAGTATTTGGTTTAATGAAATTCTGTTCACTTAGAAAAATTCATACTTTGCTTCATGTGCAGACGAGTAAAACCTCGTTAGAATAATAACTATGTGAAAGCATTAATTATTAATTATGCTCGAAGATTTAAAATAATGAAAAATTAGATAACAATAAATATAAAATTAGTCTGGTAAGTATGCTATTTACAAGAAAATCTACACGAAACATAAAATTTTAATCAGTGCGTTTTAAATATTTAAGCAGCAATTTAGCAGCTGAATAATTAAAACTCATAAATGTTACCTGGCAACCTCGGACTCAAAATTCAGTGCAGATATAACTTTTCCTAGTATTCTATGGAAAGAGATAATGCAGAGATAAAATGAAAATGTTACTTTATCGTTTAAGAATAGTTAATTTAAGAAAAACGTAAGCTTGCATTTAAAGTAATTTTTTTATTGTTTTTAAAGCAGTTTTTTAAGAAAAAATATATTTCAAAGCAAATTAATTTCGTAAGCAATCTATAAGATATTATTTATTAAATATTTAATTATTAGCTATTTACTATTCAATGGCTCCAGGAGGTTAAATTGGTAAATTCATTTTTTACTGATTGAGGTTTTAAAGTAAAAAAAAAAAAAATACTTAATATGCACTTTACAAAATTATAGTACTCTTTTCAGATGTCTTATTTGTTTTTGGTTTATTATTCAGAAGTTAAGATCATTATTAAATAGAGCATATTATAGTTCCAATTAACGGCTCGTGTAATAAATTATAAATAAATAATAATCTTCATAAAATAAATGGCAGATTTTCTTGTTAATCCAGACCTATTTCCTCATTCTAATCGTCGCTAGATATAAAAAAAAAATATACAGTCTCAAATAATCAGAACACTCCGAACACAATATGAAAGTATTGTTTGAATTTGTCTGGATTTATTGCTTAACATATTAAACTGGTTACTTCCTACTTTTCGCCCTTCAAATAAAATACGTTTCCGATGCTGTAATTTCTCAATTTCAGTGTCTCTAATATTTCCTGTTATATAGGATGCAGGATGTTTAAAAAAATTGCATTTCCGCCCAAACCTATAGTTCTGTTTTAAAAAATGAATCAAAATAAATCAATTAAAAGACCACTAGTGGCTGAGCGGTAACGTCACTGAATACTGGTAATTCAACCTGGGTACGATTCCTGGCGAATGGACATGGGTATTTTGGGCTGACTGCATGGGTATATGTAACGTGAATGCGAGTCAATTTCCCTTAGAAAGTTCTCCACAAAAGGCATCCCGCTGCTTAGGCAGATCGTCCTAATGTGCTTTACCATAATCAAATAAACCAAGCAATCAATCAATTAAAACTTGTCATCTGTGGCTGAGGTTGTTTTGGCATTTCCGTCGCTTGTTGAATTTTTCAGAATTAATCGGTCTCACTATAATTTGGTCAACTATAATTTGGTACTGGTAACCTCTTGGCTCCCCATCATTCGTTCCGCAGATGCTTTTAATAGCCCCGTTCACCAGTAGAGGGAGCCTGTGAAGTGCTTAATTCATGTTTTTACACATCTAATTGGATAAACATTTCCTTGTACAAAATTCAGGAATTGTACATCCAATTTTCTTCTGCTAAATCAATCGAAATCAAAACTTCCATATCGCGTCATTATTCTAGTTTCAGTGAGTAATCTCGTTATTTCGTTAAAGAATTAATAAATGCAGTCTCAGATATCAACCGATACCAAAAAACAAATAAATCCAAAAAAAATGTTTCGAATACAAATAAAACAAAAACAAAATAAAATTTGTGAGGTAGAAAATTCTTTACATTACACAGAAATTTACAGATAACGGAAACTATCGCATTGGACATAAATTAACGTTTCGAATAAAACTGGTGAAAAACTTACGTTACGAAACAGCGAATGAGCAGGTTTAATTCCTCCTTAAAAAAATGAATTTCAAGAATTTATTGAGCCGTATTGTATAATTCTGATATTATTCCACTTAAGTTAGCGAAATTCCACTTAAAATAGCTAATTTATTTTTCTCGAAATGAAACTATCGCTTCGTGTTTTAAAAGGAAAATAAATGTATTATTGTAACTATTGGATTGAAACTTACACAGGTGCATTTCCAAATAAATGACTCCAGACTATACACATAAAGTCTGCCACCAGTAACATAGGTGTGCCGCGGGGAAGGAAAGTAACTTCAGTTACCATCACCAAAAATTAGGGAAGTTTGTAAAACTAACTTTGCAACGAAGAAATAAAAAAATAAAAGACGCACAGCATCATTTGATTATTATCAAACAGCACTCAGAAATGCATTTAAGTGTAACCGATAACAGTTATATGTATTCAAATATAAGCTGATTACTGAAAGCATAAGTACAGTCATGAATAAATTTGTTTTATTTCGTGATACTCCACCAGATAAGTACGCTTAAAAATTTTGTAGAGTCATTAGGGTTTCTTCAAGCAGAAGACGTGAAAATATATAATGCCCTCGCCGGGATTCGAACCCTCGACCTCTCAAATACGCATAGAGTATGTTCCAATTACACCACCGAAAGCGAGGGGGGGGGAACCTTGTAAAGCTTTAGGGTTAAATTCGTACAAAATTTGAAATTTAAGAAAACAACAATCTTATTTCTTAGTCTTCGATAAGTATAATCTTTATAAATCAACATATTCTTTTATATCCAACATATCTTTATAAATCAACACAACCTTATCAACATATCGGTAAAGTCGTGTTTTGGAATACAATTTAAGTTTCTCTAACAGTTTTCTGAATTTCTTGATTGCTATTTAAATAATGGCCGTGAGGTGCATTTGAGGTGAGATTTCACTTTAGGTAATAATAATGTTTGTTTACGTGTTCCGTCAGATGACACTACACGAACTGGTCCCAACTGAAAGGCCCCCATATTGGGCAGGGGTTGGGTCACCAGTTTAGTCCCCACTAGGAGTTTAAATGGACCCAAATCATGCTGCCGCACCCGGGCCCGAATCCGAGGCGACAGACTTTAAACAGACTTTCTCTAATACCGCTGCTACCTCCTGGGCGAACGAGGTCATCACTCACGGTTCCCAGATTTCGCAGCACTGGGAAACATGCACGCCTGTATCTGACTGACCGTCAAAACGTTCCACCTGTCAGTACTACGCAGAATGCCCGAAGCCCACCCTCTAAAATGGGGCTTACTCCATCTCACTCTGTGGGTCACTAGAATAAACGAAGACAATTTTATCTGCGAACACCCGCAGGTCACGGGAAACTGCCAAGCTCAATGAGTTTATAATCCCTTGGCCGAGGTTGTCTAGGTACAGATCCTAACCAGTAGCTTCACCGAATTCTCTGCGTCGACCGGCGGCGGGGGTGTCACTTTAGGTAAGAGAAAATATTCTGTAGGTACCGAATATGGTGAGTAAGGGAGTGATTGTGAAACTACGTGACGAGATTGCTATTGCGTGAATGCGCATTGTCATGCAAAAGAAGCCAGTTACTCGACTGAAACTTTTCAGGCCTAATGCCGTGAAATTTCTTCAGAAGATTCTCCATTACGTTTCTGTACTCGAGATTTTTTAAACCGAAGTTAACCTTCTCCGTCTCAAGTATACTACTTACCTTTCTGTCAAAACCTGCACCATAAAGGGCAACACTGGAAGTTATGAGTGTGCAAACATTCTCAAAACTTCCAGTGCCGTGTTGCTTATCCGGTTGGTATGGGGGTACCATAATACTTATGGTAAATTTAATCGTTATGGCCAAAGCTACTACTAGGCTGTATACCTAGAATTTGCCATTTGTTTCAGATTCTGTTGACAAAAATGATTCGGCATCTCAAAGATAGAACTGATGTGCCGCCATGCTCAGCTTGGCAGATATACATGTTTCGTTCTGCCAGTGACTCCGATATTATTGTTGGGTATTGTTGAGGTGTTACTTTACCAAGCCTGAGAGCAGGGATGATAAAAAAGGCACGTAGATTAGCACTTCAGTCTATGTGGCAAGCATGTTATCCATCGTATATGAAAAAAGTATTATCTAATATTGCACTGTTGGATTATGGAATAACTCACGATGGCTATCTACCTAAGAGGAAAGATGCCGCCGTATAAAAATTTCTGAGAGAAAGTTTTCATGTTGATGATATCCACCTTACGCACAGGAAGTTCTAGAAGAGCTCTTAGGTGGACTGGCCTATTCGGCGGAATTTGAACCCGGGTAAACTGACCATTGTTTTTATCGCTTGGTCGCCAGTAAGCTATCGAAAATTGCAGAAGTTCGCTTATAATCATATTGTGCTCAATAATGCATTTTGATTACTGCATTTTTTCGCGTATTTTTCACTCTAACATTTTAGACCTAGGTTCTGAAAATTTAAAAAGTGTACGCATCATTTTCTCCTTCCTCTGAGGCACATACTTTCCCTCTGATGATTAGTTTATTCGTAAATCGTATTCCCTTGATTATTTTTATTTTTATTCGGGGTACTCGATTTGTATTAACGAGTTTTCTATTAACATTTCGTCCATTTTATATTGCCCAGCATTAATTATTTGAAACGTATTTTGTGTAAATTCTTTATTAAGCTACTCAGAAGTGGCAGGTTTTCTCACACTTAAGAAATCTTCCAAACATGTGATTTCAGCGGAGCGCGACGTGTAACTGATCCGAACGCTCGATATCTATCAAATTTTATAATGTTAATATTACTGTTTATTCTTATTGGAGGTTTCTTTTAAAGAAATATTATGATAGTTACCAGTAGTTTATTCATTACTACTTTTCATTTGTATTTTTCTTACTGTACCCGCTTTCTTCGGAAATTAAATTACTCGCATAATTTTCCCCTTCTCGATTTTGGAGCGATAAAAATTAGCCTCCTAAACGGTATAGTAGTTATGGAAGTTTGTAAATGTATAGTATCCGTGTGGTAGGGGAGCACACTAAATATGCGGCCGGCCGAAAGTTCTCTCGAGAGGTTAGTGCAAATCAGAGAAGTCGTACTGCTACATATGTATGGTGCTTAAGACTCTTGCCAACGACAGGCGCAATCTCGCACTCCTTGCCACGATGGATTTCGTGGACTTGCTCTGCTGTTACTGTCAGACAAGTGATATAAGTCCCAACACAACAACAATAACAACGGTAAAATTAGTTAAAAAAGGGGAAATACAAGTGAAAACATGGTTTTTCTATAGTTTCTATGTATACGTATTTAAAATGTTTTTCCTCTTCTTAGCATGTTAAAAATTATAAATTGAGAGTTACAGAAAATAAAAATTCGAATTCTACACTAACATATCTCACAGCATAGGATTAAACCAATAGTTTTCAGTCGTCTTACGGTTCTGTTTCTAATCACATGTGTTGAAATTTAACTCTAAAATTCATTTATAATTGGAAAACGTATTTTGTTATTGTGAAAATTTCACTTGTCTGATTTAATAAGGGCAAGCCCACACATTTTACCCTGACAAAGAGTAGAAGGTTGTGTGTCGTGGCTAGAGCCTTGGGCACCATATAGGTGACAGCAAGATTTTACCCAGTCCCACCCCAAGTTTGGGAAAACAGCGCCCCGAGAAGCGGTCCGAGGGTCTCTCATTCCTCTTTCCCTACCAACAAATCATATGAGAAGACTGGTCATATATTTAGAGTGCCCCCATGCCGCATAGACACTCTACATTTTCAACATCCGTGCTGTCTCCGGGATTTGAACCTGTGTTCTTTGATAGGTAGTCAGAGTCACTAACTACCATCCCAGAAAAACTATTCTACTATTATTCTCAAGTTAGCTTTATTTCTCCAACAAAGAATCGATTTCCATTTAGTTTAATATATATGACAAAATGGAAGATTCTATGCCATAAAATTTGCTAACTAACGATAATTATAAAGTTAGATAAATAATATATATATAAATTCTTTAAGTTATACGATTTTATTTAAATACATAAAAATTACAATTTCTTTAATGATCATAATATTCCTGGAATGAGACTAAATAAACAGTCGGGCTACAGAAATGGAGGAATTTCAATCAAGTGAATTTAAATAAACTGAATGCAATCATTTTTATATATGTCGTTCTTATATTATTATTTTTACTATATGTTAAAATTAATGTTTACGTTAATTTGAAATTAATGTTTGCGTTACATTAATGTCTGAATGCACTTCATGTATGACAGCATTTATAGCACATATGCTTAAGGATATTATGATAGCTAAAAAAAAGTTATGCTTTTAATTTTTAGTGCATTTAACTAAAACCGTTTAAATTAAATTCAAATAGCTTTTTACACACTTTTTTATACATTTTAGTCTACTCAGTACTGAAAATGATAAAGAAAAGAATCACCACCTCTGAACATAGGATTGGATTGGAGCACGACCCGGTCCCCCTTGTCAATGAAGACCTTACCATCAAACCTCTGAACATAAAGAAGTATTCTCTCTATCCTTCCCCCCAAGGGCCCACCAGCGGCTGAATAGTAACGTCGCTGAACACTGGTAATTCGGTCTGGGTTTCGAATTCCGAAGAAAGGGCTGGTTGCATGGACGTTTTCGTGGTTTTCCTATGTATAGCGTATATACGAGCCAATTTCTGTTATAAAGTCCTGCACTAAGACAACCTTCCCCTTAGGCAGATAGCTTTGCAACATTAAAATGAAAGCAAACCATACTTTCTCCGTAGAATTTCCAAAGTTCTCAAACTTTATATTCAATCCATTTATATTTATGTTTACAAATTTCGATCTTATTGTCACTTAAAATTATAGGACTGTTAAAAGCGAAAAATCAAACATAATTGATGAAGAAATACGTCTGTATAGAACTTAAATTTAGATAAGAAAAATACTTAAGATTTGGCGTAGATTTTCAATAAAACTGTGTCGGTTTTGATTGCGATGATACATAACACTCTTAGCAAAAAAAAAAAAAAAAAAACCGACGCACCAAGAAGAAGCAATCTGAATGAGACGAAAATTGGTAGAAGTGATGTACATGTACAGAAAAGCAAATGATTACAGTTTGAGAAAAATTGGATGATTTATTGAAGTGATAGAGCTTTACAAAGTGAAAAAGTCAGTAACGCGTTTGGCCACCACTGGCCCTTATGCAAGCAGTTATTCGGCTTGGCATCGATTGATAGAAGTTGCGGATGTCATCCTAAGGAATATTGTGCCAAATTCTGTCCATCTGGCGCGTTAGACAGTCAACATCCCGATCTGGTTGGAGGGCCCTGCCTATAATGCTCCAAACGTGTTCCAAACGTGCTCAATAGGAGAGAGATCCGGAGACCTTGCTGGCCAAGGTAATGTTCGGCAAGCACTAAGGCAAGCAGTAGAAACATGTTCAGTGTGGGAGCGGGCATTATCTTGCTGAAATGTAAGCCCAGGGTGGCGTGACATGAAGGGCCTTAGAACTTCGTCAACGTACCGCTGTGCCGTAAGGATGCGACGGATGACGACCAAAGGGGTCCTACTTGAAATGAAATGGCACCCCAGACCATCACTCCTGGTTGTCTGCCTGTTTGCCTGAAGACAGTCAGGTTGGTATCACACCCTGTCCGGGGCGTCTCCAGACTCGCCTTCGCTCGTCATCGGGGCTCAGCTCAAAGCGGGATTCATCACTGAAGACTATTCTACTCCAGTCAGTGGCATTAAAGTGCTAATAAGCCCGATACCACTGAAAACGGGCTTGACGTTGTACAGAGGTCAATGTTAGTCGGCGCAAGGAGCGCCGTGACCTCAGCCCCCTTTCTGTGAGCCGTCTATAAATGGTCCCTGCGATCACTGAAGCACTAGTTGCACGTACCATCGATGGTAATGATGCATTCGGGGCTGTGAGTGCCGCTCTGACGATTGTTCGGTCTTCACGTTCTGTCATTTCTCTAGGCCTACCGCTTCCTTCTTGACGCTGTGTGCGGCCATGGTTCACCCATTCTTGCCAACATCGTCTAATAGTGGCATCGCTCCTGCTCAAATTGGCGAGCTATTCGCCAATAAGACCAACCGGCTTCTTTGAGCCCAACTACAGACCTTTTCTCAAATCATGACATCTGCGCATATCGTTCGCGCACCTGTATGCGAGGCATATTTACTGTCTACCAAAGTACACGGAATGAAATTCGTGAACACTTTATGACCTGGAATCGTAATTTCTCCTTAATCCTTTGCGGCACAGTGTGTCCGTTCTGGACACATCTAAAAACTTCCTTCTGTACGCACAGAAAAATTGAATGAAAAGGATTTATAGGTTACTCTGAACTATACTATAGGTTACTCTGAACTATACTATAGCTTACTGTGAACTATACTATAGGCTACTCTGAACCTTCTTTATTTATAGTAGATGGTACCTCAACACAAACCAGTCCATATATTTTAGCCATGTTTAGTTTTTTAAGACCCTCATTTTTCAAAGAAATCTTCCAGATTTTTTTAATAGTATAAAAGGAATTGTTTGAAAAGAAATTTCTATGTTACTTTTTTGGCTGTATGCTAATCTCCTTATTCTTTTCGAAGCTCTATTCAGTCAGTGTGCCCTTTTCGGGCACACTTACAGAAAGAAACGATAAGTTTTATCTTCACAAAATTTTACTTGTGTACTCTTCTAGGCCTAATTAGACTGCCTACCCTTTTTTTTTTTTAATCAAAACTCCGACTTTAAAAGGTAGCGTGCAGGAAAGGGTTAAATATCCTGCCAGTCGCGCAGATCAGATGCGCTGTAGCGACAACCGTTCATTCATTGGCAGCCAAAATGTAAAATTTTGCATTTTCCGTCGAAACCTGTATGCATATCAATTTGTGTCCAATTTGCTGTATATCTTCTCGGTGCGTCATTTTATTGTCTAACAGTGTATATCCTTCTTTAAAGTAAAGCTTTTCAAAAAGTTATTCCTAACAAAATGCGAAT